AAATTACGACCAAATTACACTTGTAGTCTGCTTAAAGTTTTCTAAATCGCGCAATATTGGATTAATTGGTTTGATAATAAATTTTTTTGGCATACTTAAACATGTGCTTTTTGTAGAAAGGCAATTTCATATTAACGCAAAAACTGCATTAAAAATTGTCAAAACACGAGCGGTTGTCGCCTCGGTAGTTCCGTTATTTATTAAGGGCAAACTGTGTATACAACTACTTGAGAGCACTCGTCGCGATAAAGTGCTCGTTTTAAGGATTAATGCAGTCGAAGTGGATAAAACGCTTGCGTTTGAATTCGTGCCAGAAGTGAAATTGATTGTTGTTTTTGAAAAGCATTGCAATCGATATTCCAAAGTCTAGGTGAAGTACGCTTTATTGTCTCATTACATTCGAATGAGATGGAAATTGCCAGCGACAAAGTAGACCAATTAGGAAAGGAACGTAGATCGCCGAGGAAAAGCCGTCGTTTTCGCGAAATGAAAAGTAATGAGATCTTAAAAGAACGGGAAGGAAGTCACAGCCCAATTTGGAGTGCAGAGCACAGAGACAGTTGTAAGGCGTGCAGCGAGTGAAACTTTCCCGCGCATCGACGATCGCGTGCAAATGGACGCCCCCCCCGCCATCCCTCCACACACACACACACACACACACAAAAGCGCGACGGGCACGAGCGGAGCCCCTTATACGTAAAAAAGAGGAGAAGAAGCGACAAAGAGCAGAGCCAGAGTTTACAAACAAGCGAGATTGGCCGTACGTATATAGCGCGGACGGACGAGCTGCGCGCTCGCGCGTCGGCTCGTGCTTTTGCGCGCGTGGCTGCGCGAGGAGATACGAGAGCGCTTTATAAACCGTTCGATTTCACAGGCCGATGCGTCTTCTCCTCGGGCGCGTGGGCGACCGGGAGACGCGCTCTCGTTGCATTAGGCATTGGGCGCGCGGCTAATAATGCGACGAGCGACGCAAGACACCGCGCCCGTACTCCGATGTCCACCCACTCGCGTCGCGCGCGTCTCGCACTTTTCATTTGCTCCCAGCTGTTTTCTCGGTGCCACGAGGGATAATTAGACGCTTCGTTAGTTTTCGCGATGGGTATGGTGCGGTATTGGGCGAATCCAGCGCTCCATTCCAAGGACGTTTGAATATTTCGAAGAGTGAATGGATTTCAACGCGGTGATTCATTCGATATTGATTACGAAATAAAAGCTTCGCATTTGTCCAACGGAAACGAGATTGCAATTTGAAAAGTGAATTTACTGATACGATATGAGTTTGTAAATTGGCGCACTTCTTATCGAGGGATATACGAATTGAGATCGATTTTATATAGTCGACCGATTGGCCAACCATGCTATTGCAAACGACATTGTTTAGCCTTTGGAGCTTTTCTCAAATGTGAAAATGACATGTATATGTTTCGAGGAGCAAAGTATCTACAGTTTTATCAGGCAAGCTTCTACTAAATTCAAGCGCAGGAGAAAGAAAATGGTGTATTGGTTTTCGCGCACTTTCAAAGCTTTTTACATCGCGGCAGGAACGCAGATAAGGTTCTACAAAGGAGACGGGCTGGAGGGCGGAGAAAATGCATTTATTCTCGGAGAGCGCCATTGGGAAAAAGAACGACTAAGGAAGCAGGAAAGTATTTGTGTTTACGAGGAAATGCCTGAAAGGGCATATAAAAGAAAAACGGCCTCGCGTGAACAACAATTCGACTCGATAATCGAGTCAACAGACAGTGGGGGCATTGATTGGTGATTGTGTCAATGCGATCGACTTGAAAAACAATAGAAAATCGTAATGACTGCAGCCGCGAGTAAACAACTGATAAATGGCATTATAATTGATGGGCGAGAAGGACGGAGACAAGCTGCAGACGCGAGAAGCCTGAGCGTGTAAATTCAATTTAGCGACTCGCTAAAAGAACTTGGGAACCGAGGTAGTAGTAAGTTGGATCAACAATTGACTTAGCGCACTCTGAAAGCCTCGCCCTATTCCGAGGGTAATCCCCGGCATCGAACCGTTGGTGCGCGCCATCGCCAAAGTAAAGGGAATTTTCATGCCGCGAGTACGTCACCAGGGAGCAAGAGAAGATAGATGTGGAAATCAATGTGACCGTTGGACCTCACAGGAGCTTCACAAGGAAAATATCCTTCGCATTCGAGGATATGCTTTCGGTAATATTTAACATGCAGAAGAGCCGATAATGTAACGACCTGTTGACGCACTTCCAACGTGCTTACGTTACTTTATGCTTATATGTTCCTGTATACCTCATAGCTTTCATATCGCGCGCGGATAATGGGCAAATAACGCGACTTTATAGAGAGATGTTCGGAGCGTCCACATTGTTTCCCCGAAGAAGCAAAAATTCTAGCGAGCTCGTTTTCCGTTTTTCGTGCTTTGAAAAAATATCGCGCACTTCTCTGACATTTGCACGCCAGAGTTGCAGGCCCTTCTGCGATGACCGTCAGCGATTTCATCGGAAATGAATGCTTTACGGAGCTACCGGACGCTTTTGAAAAGCTATCCAAGAAACGCCGCGAGCCAGCGCACCACCAACGAAGAACTCGCTGAAATACGAGCAGAGAGCTCCGGACGATCGAAGTCGTCACGGATGAGGGAAATTACCATATTCGTCCCATTCACGAGGAATCCCGACAGCCGAATTAATCGAGTGGTCGTCGACTGCGTATACGCGCGAGTCGAGCAATCGATAGACCAAAAAACAATTCCAAATTTATGAGTCGGCTATCGTGCTGCGAGCGCGCGGCATAACGGGAGGGAAGACGCGCGTAACCGGTTTCTTTTCCGAAAAATCCAATCAACGAAGATATATATATATAGGGATAGAGAAAGAGAAGCGAATGCACGCCAAGTGCATGATGCACCTAAGACGCTGCTTGAAATTTCTTTCTCAGCGCGCCACACTACAAAGTCACGGAAGCTTTCGTCCCGTTCGCACATAGGTGCAATTGTAATGTTGCCGGCAAACCACAGCTGGACGACCACTGCTCGTTAGACACATCGTCATTCGTAGCCATATGGACAGTCACTTCTTTTAATTAAGGGCCGCTTTCAAATTGCACCTTTACGACATGGCCGGTTTATTATTTCACGTTCGGAAGTTCATTTCAACCGGATACTGATTATCACCAGCAGCGCTACTTCTCTCCGATAAATTCGTTTTCACTTTCTGCGTCGGTGATTTTTCGTATATTATTATGAATGGTCGATTTGCTAGCTTTGAAAATGATCCAGGCCGGGCATCGAAGGAAAACGAACAAAATACGAATTAGAAAAAGTTGCAATAAGCGTTTTCGGGCGAAGACTTCGAAGGCAGTTTTCATCGAGTGAGGCAAAATGTAGTCAAGATGTGCGAACTAGCTGGCGATATTAACATTTCATTAGCGCTTGCTAAGGACTCGTTAACTGTTCGTGGGTGAACACCCAAGAGCACGCAATACTCGAAAAGAAGCCTTGCAACTTGCGAAGCATCAAGATTAGATTCTAATATTCGCTTTTTTACCTTTACCGTTTGAAAGCGGACACTTTTTTAACTTTTGAATTGATTATTACTCGAGCGAAGTAAAATAAAACGCTGCTTTGCGAAATATTGATTTGCTCTGTTTCTCGACAGCAATAGGTTCAGGGAGGAAAAAAGACTATATTTTTTTCAATAGGCAGCTTTCAGCAGCAGCTTTTCTATATTTGCACTGCAGTCAACGAGTAGTTTGTACATACATACGTGTATATCTATTGACGAGGAATAAAATTACACTCGCTCGTGCACATTAGCACGTGACATAAATGAAAATAATCGACGTACGTCCGTGGCGCTCGTGCAAGTAAGATAATGAAGCGTCCTAAGGTGGATGAGTAGAGAAGCAAAGTTTAATTCCAAATGCAACGCTCGTCAAAACGCTCGGAACGACAGGAAAAATAATTTAGGTTAGTACTATACTCGACCGCGCGCACACACCTTAATCAAATAGCGCTCAATGCCAGTTGCACAATGCGCAGCAGACAACTTGACTCTCCGAGGGAAAACAAAATAATGTTTACCATGAGAGACTTCAATGAAAGATTTACGTCTGAATTCCACTGGAAAATTAATTTATAGGTCAGATAATATGAAAACAAGACAAAAAGAAAGAATAATCAATGACTGAAGCGCGATAATGAAATACTACGAACAATGAGAATCCTGTGCAGAACCCCATTCAGGGAATATGAAACAGATTTTATTCGGAGCATGTTTAATACTCTGTAATCCATAAATAGAAGCTTTACATACACAGGCTCTCAACATACGCACGTTCGTGGAATAGTGTAACGTAAAAATTATTGCCTACGAAACTAAAAATAAAATTAAGTTCATAGAAAGATGAAATCTGCTAATCAAGGGATTAAGCGGTTTGTAAATTTCTCACGCATGATTACCTTAACAAATCATTGAGTGCAAAACATTGCAGTGATGGCCACTGAATGCATATGCAAATATAAGCAAATAGAAAGACAACAGCAATCCAAACTGTCTGCATCGAAATGATGCACCTGCGCTGTCGGGAGTAGCAAAGAAGGGGGAGGGGGAGAGCGCCTGCTCAATGATTTTGGGGAAAAGCACGTTGTGCGCTGCACGCCCGTTGTCAATGAGTTTGGCATATATAGCAAGCGTACTGCTAGGTACACAAACACCAATACACAGTACTACGTGATATAGCTATACACACGAATGCGCACGGGTAGCCAAAGCACACAGAGGAGCGAGCGGCACAAAGAGCAAAAGAAGCAACACAAAAGGGACCTTTCACCCTCGCATTGCAGACTTATTTCGACAGTACCTTGTTGCTGCAGACAGTGCAGCTTGCACAACCGACCATCGTCCCTTTGAGTGTCGACCTGGGCTTTTTCTCCACTTGTGCTGAACTAATCGATCCGCACACGTATCGAGATTCTGATTTTCGAACTGTACAAAGGGGGTTGAAAGACTCACCGTGCGAAGAGCAGCTAGGCCGAAGACAGCAATAACCCTACACAGGCGTCACACTCGCACAGACAGATAGATAACTACCTGCGAACCTGCGATTATATATGTTTTGTAGGTCTCGTTTAGTTGGTGCTTGAATTTCAACAATATCACGCGGAACGAGCAGCTTTGCAACTCGCCATTTTGCCTCTGGCTCGCGCGCCTGGTTGCAGACACAACACTGACTGAACGACCGAGGAAGCTCACCGTCGCACATTTCGTGCATGGCTAGTGGAGCGCGCCGTGCAAGTGAGAGAGGTGTTTTCTCCCTCCCTTCCCCTTCTACTCCCACCAGACGGAGCTCCCATTCTTGCTCTCTTTCTCTCACACGCTTACTCAATATGTTTGACTATAGGTTTGTCCTGCGCGAAGGATAGAAAAGGATAAGGGGATTCACATTTGTGCGACGAGGTCTTACTTTATTTACTTTACCTTATTGTAGATGGCGGTGTATCTTTATGTTAAGTAAGCGTGCGGGAGAGAGAGTGAGAGAGTACGAGATGGGAGCTCCGTCGGGTGGGAGAAGAGTTCTCTGTATTGTAGCTGCATTATCACATTTGATATATATTAGAAAATATATAATGCGATATGAATTAATAATATTTTATTTTCTGTAGCACACTCTATTTGTAAAAATTCACATCGCTTGTATATATATATTTGAACAAAAAAGTTGGATTTATCAATCAATTTAAATTTTGTAAAATATTTTCTTTCTGATCAACAGTAAGTAAAACTGGGATCTACATTACAGGTTTTCGATATATCAGTATAAAATATTTTTTATGAACTGATTGTTTTATTACAATATTGTTTTATTGCTGATTGTTTTGTTACAATACATATATTTGATATATCGAACAATATATGAATTTTGATAAAGTTTAAACTTAGTGACTAAAAGTAATAATTTAATATTTCATATATAAGTGCAACTCATAATTATGTAAATCCTCCATAATTTTTTTTAGCGTCTTCACGATTTATTGTAAGACTCATTTTCATTAAAAAGAATGTTTAATCCACGGCCGAATCAATAGTTCGAAAAAGGCGTCTAACGTCCCACGTCTTGACCAAATTGATTGCTAAGGTATGCATTAATTATGAATCTACATCTTACTCGAGACTGTCTATAGAAGATTCTTTTGAAAGAAATTGCGAAACAATAATTTTTTAAGAGTCGGTAGCTTTTTATATATTGAACCATATAGGGCAACCATAGACAAGTGTGTTGGTCTTATAAGTAACGTGTAAAATATGCATCTGATTTTGACATCTAGATATTTCGAGTAGAATATTTTCCTATGAATTCGGAAAGTTTTTCTTAGCTTTAGTCAATTGAGTTCCTACATGATAATTGAAATGCAATAGTTTATCTAAATGCATGTTAGATTTGTAATTTTCTCTGATATTGCTACCTTTTTTCACACTTGAGAAGATAACTTTTACGTTAGCATATGTAATAAAATTTGTTAATCGAGTTGTAAATGTTTCCTAGTTTATCAGTTAATTCTTGGATTTTTTACCTATGATAAACTCATTAGGGAAAAGAAGCATCTTATGTCTGGCAGCTGGTCTCGAATAAACACCTTTCAAGTTTGTGAGGTAAAGTAGTTAAAAATAATAAAGAGGCTTTTACAATGCATTGTTTAAAACCATAATGTAAGACTAGAATAACGCTACAAGCCTGGCTTGTGAATGATATATAAAATTTTATGTTTTGCAACGATGTTTTGGATTGTTATGTTTATTTAATCCACATAATAGAGCTTTTACCCCACAATATTAAATACACGATCGAGGTAGATTAGCGCTGCTGAGACACTAAATTTGTTGTGTAGTGCGTGTGTATTGAATGTCGGAAATGATGGGAACGTAGACTGTGTGGGTGGTACTTAGTTTATTCCTGAAACCGAATTGTTTAGGATAATATCGTTAAGAATTTATTGAGGGTACATTTTAGAAGTTTTTAAAAACTTTATAAGAAATTACAAGGAAGCAGGCTGATCGGCCTGTAATTCATAGAGGCTGACGGATTTTTTACCTTTTCTCTTTATGAAAATGACTTTTGCCGGGAAAATGTCCATTATTAGACAAACAACGTACTATAACTATTTATTATCCTGGTGGTTAAGTGTTTCAAAATTATGTTCGGAATTTCATCAGGACCAGCTGATTTGTTGTTATTAAGTTTTTTTTAATCTTTTAAAATTAAAATAGCAGAAATGACAAGAAGTTTTCGCCTTCTTCCCATTGGAGCTTATGGGATGTATCGTAATCTTAAAATTGTAAGACTGATGTGTTCTTATTTTTAACTTTGTTCATTGGAAGTATATGTTCGATGTCAAATTTTTCTATTGTCAAAGTTTTGGTGTTGAATCGCCTAATATTCATTTTTTGTTTATATTTCTTTGCACATTATTGAGTAACTCTATTTTATTATGTTTAATTGCTAGTTTAGCGGGTAAGTCGTTAATTCGCGTAAATTCGCATAACCCACCCCCTCCCCCGCGCACGAGCGCGGGAGGGCAGCACCGGCGGTACGCATGTTGGCAGTTTGGCACCAGCACGAGGGCGCGCTTACGGGATAGGGAAAGAGCTAGCTATCAGTTGAGTTAGTCGACTAGATTTGAGTACCCGGTTTTGCACCAAACAACACGTGCGCGTGTACCTAAAAGAAGAGGAAAGTGGAAAACCAAGCGCCTACCGAAAGGAAAACTCAACAAATAAGATACGTCACAGTCCTCGAGGACAGCTAAAATAGCCGTAGAGCGGAATCAAAAGTACAGGACATCGAGCAGCCAGAAGTAGCCGAGAGAGCCGCATCCGTCAACCTCATGCAATAACACTGCCATTCAAGTAAGTTGGCCAGCGAAATCGCGGAAATTCGGGTATGTGATCGAGATCGTGAGACACAAAATAAAGCGAGCGAAGCGTCATGATGCGTTATTATTCTCTCTTTCTCTCTCTCTCTAACTCAGCACGATGATCATTAGCGCGCGACGACGACCAATGCGACTAATATTTTCGGCTGCCTATAGTGTGATTGTCTTGTTCTTGAACGGCAGTGAATAAATTCATTGTCTTTGTACGAAACTGTGACTTTCTGTGTGTGTGACCTTGCCAGACCTCCCGTATTTTCGCTACGAAGCCAATCGCATATCAATTGCCACGCGATCGTGGCCGGCTTTTGCGATCGTTTACAGCTCAATCTTTCGCCACGGACGTCCAGAACAACCACGCAGATCCTGCACTTAATGTGGCTCAGCCAAACGATGAATCAGTAATAGCTCCAACGGGCACGACGCAAACTGCCCGTGTGGGTAAACAACATTGCACACTCATAAGAAAAATATTCACCCCCGTTACATTAGTTGAGATATTGGTAAAAATTTTTTTCTGAAGATAATATTGATTTAAGGAAACATTTTGGAAGAGTTGTGTTTTATATTTTCAAGTTTATCTGTCCAGTGTTCGTTGGGCGATTTTTCAAATTTCTGTTTGAATTTTATCTTTGTTTTTTTTATTCAGTATCATTTTTTTAATTAATGTCGGACTGCGTAGAAAAGTTTTTGCATTCATTGTAAAGACGTATTAATATATGACATTAATAGTTTTTTAATTTTTGTATTTACATACAACGCTGATTGATTGAAATAATTAAAAGTGAAAATATTCTTTTGCATTTCGTTAATTATTACATTGTCTATGTCGAATTGGTATTAATTAATTTCTGAGTTAGCATTAACAGATTAACAGATTTCTGTTAATTGGTATTTCTATGGTTCAATAATTCTCAGCAAATTTTTGGAATTGAAACGAAATAATTGAGCTTTTTGAAATTTTATAACATTGAAAGTTATCGTCAATGTACAGAAGTGAAATAATTATTTCGTAGCTTTGTGATCGCAATCATGTATTATTAGTATTATTGGTATCTATTATTGTCTATCTATCTATTATCTGTATTGCTATCTATCAAACTCACCTCGAATAAGCCCGACTTTTTCTGTAAGTAAGGGCGCTTGTGTTTAAAATTCATTTTATATTTGAAATTTCTTTCTAGTAGCCAGATTTTTAATGTTCTGGGGTTGGGTTCGTAATTGAATTATTTTTCATAGGATGTTTTGCGCTTAGATTCCCTGTAACTATTAAATTATTTTCATTTTATAAATTTAGTAAGCCAAAAAGGGATTTCGATTCATCGATAAATTCGTGCATTTGTATGTCAGCTGCATATGGTTATTATTATTATTATTATCACTTCAAGAACTACGTTTGTTTTGATCGCTGCAGAGAGGACAATAGGTACCTATAGGGATTAGTTTTGGTTCCTTATGTAGTCATGAGTATATAAACCTACTTTTCCTACAATTTTCGGAAGGGTGCGAGAGGAGGTTTTTACAATCTTCATGACTGGACCTACAGTCGAAAGTGGAATCCAGATCACAGGAATATATACAGACACATATTAAATACAAGTTTATGTTATTTAATAACTATATTTTAAAAATAACATTTAAAAATAATTTAATCATACTTTTTTTAATAAATACAGCTACCCTGCCACCATTTAAGCTTTCTCTGTCGAAATATATAAAAATTCTTAGATTTAGTTTTGTGATAGTACTTACGTTTCATTCGTTAATAAATATAACATCATCTTTATTTTTATTCATTAGTTAACAAGATCGTGCCTACTCTGATTCGTGGATATGGAATTATTTATTGAAACAATCTTTAGAATAGTATACACTATGTGTAGGTTGATATAAGTAAGTCAAATTTTATGTATTTTCATTCATTTGTTATGTCATTGCGTTATGTCTCACTAATTGTGAGACGGGAATTTTTTATCCTTTTCGAGCTGTGATTTCTCACTTCACCCGGGTAAGGAAAAATTGGTGTTGGCTAAAATACAGAAAATTTGACGTGCACAGCGCGGGTGCTTATCTAATCCCTGAACCTAAATCGATTATTCTAGCGCCAATCTTTTCAGAAGGCACAGAGAATTTTCAATTATAGATTTCACTCAAACCTATAAAGATCCTATTGATCCAAGTTCCGAGTGTTAAGCTAAGTATCAATTCTATCCAACTCGTTTTGCAACAAGAGGACCGAGCGAAACGGAATTGGGAAAACTGATTTAAAGAAAGGATACTAATAGGAAATTATGTGTTTTGTAAATTATGTTTGAACTTACTTTTATTAAAATTGAAATCTTTCCTCACAATTTAAAATGAAAATTAAAACTTGAAAAATTGAGCCTTGCACGCTCACAACTTAAAAAGAATTAAATAAACTGAGTCCCAAAAATAGTCCTTGCCACTGAGAGAGAGAAGGTCTGGGAACGTGACAGTCCTGACTGTGGATGGCGTAGCAGTAGTAAACAGTTCCCGAATTACTTGACACAATCCCTCGGGATGCGCTCTTTTTTAAAATAAGGCCGCAAGAGGCTCTGAAAGATTTGGGAATGAAAACTCCAAAAGTGATTGGTGGAAATTTTCCCGCAAGAGTGAAAGACACTGTAGAGTGCACTTTTCTTTCGAGTTTTCCAACATAGATGGAGTTACTCGTGCCAAATCGTGTGCAAAATACGCTATTGTTAATGGTTTAGTTACAATTAATTAATTACAATTAAATTACAATAAAAATAATCTTCTAATTTTATTATTACAACTAATTTTACCTATAGAATGAATTCATCTAAATGAACAAATTCATAATTTTGTTATTGTAAATTTTTATATAATGCTAAACGGAAAAGTGAAAACTCTAAGGGAAACGCGTAAGAAGAATTTTATCTCTTTTTTTTTTCCTCTGTGTTCCGCATGGGGTTTGGGCAGCGGCAGCCCATGCCATTAGTGCAAGGACATCATAAGTAAATGGACGCGCGCAACGAAGTACTAGATTTTTTCTGTAAAGCTATTTTCAAATTGCAGGCTATTTGGTCAGTTTGTCTTCTCTAGGAATCTGAAGGAACCTTGCGAAGAGAAACTTCCCAACGTATTTTCGCTTTCCAATAGTGCTCCAAATTTTGTACAATTTGATGCGCTTTAGTCGTAAATTAAGTAAAAAATAAAGTTCAGTGTTAATATTAGTTATCCGACGTTACAATTGTCCTTTTCCAAATATCAATTATTCAGTTTGTCAACTCTCTTAAAATTTATGTTCTATTTTAAATTTAGATTTAAATTTAAATTATCTATTATAAAATTTAGAATTGCTCTAAATTTTGATTGTCATTGAAAAATAAATTGTTTAGATCTAATATTAGTTTGTGAATAATTATGTATAAATTATTTCCGGGATTACTATTTAAAGAATTATTTTGCATCTATGGTGATTAGGAGATTGCCGTTCGCCTAACATGATTCACGTACTTTTCCATATATACAGTTCTAAGGTTGAATGCGCCTTTAATTACATATATTTTTAATGGCACTAAATTATCATTAGAGAATAACTCAATTTCTATTTTTTCTTTGTGTTGTTTCGTTAAAAAACCTTTGTTTGAGTTTTTGGAGTGTGTTCCAAATGGAGAGCCTCTTAAGAATTTTAGCCGTAAAGTTGGTTACATTGAGTCACGTTACTATGATAACCACATAGTTGCCGAACATTGATTCTGTCCACTCATTTCAATATTTCAAGTGTCAGGTTATCAATTTGGATTTTAATGAATAAATAAATAATATAACAATATAACTAGTTAAAAAGTAAATATATGTGTATATTAGAGATGTTGAAAAGCTTGTCAAGCCAATTTGTTAGCTGTAATTGGTGCTCGACCAACAGGTGTTGTGAAACGAAGCGTTTGTAAAAATTTTTCAAGGGCCTTGTACTTGATCGAGGAATATTTAAGACCAAATTATGACAAGCACTAATTTTCACAGATCTCGTTGTTCGAGCTTAAAGTGATGGCAGCTATCATATTTTTATGGGAACGGTTGCTAATCTGGTGAAGGATTACATCTATATACATTTCAAATGATAAGTGTTCAGTGACCGTGATATAATTTACAAATATCTTTTGATATAGCTACAATGAAAGATTGACCAAGTATATCAAGTGCTTTTCAAGACTTGATAATGAGCATTTCATAAAGACGATATCATAAAGGTATTATTCTTTGGAGAAAACGTGTACAGCACTTGGTTCCAGAGGATATCATGATCGAGAAAGACCTTATAACCTTCTTGTTTACTCTTCTTAATTTATTCTATGTAATATCCTGAAAAGAACCACAAAGTACCATATTCTTTTTACAATATTAAATGGGATGAAATAAATACTACTTATCTGAAAACAGTTCATCGGTGCGGTTGATTATTTTCAATTGAACCTTCATTTTTTTCTTTGATATTCAAAATCTCTAATATACATATATATTTACTATTTAACTAGTTATATTATTATATTATTCATTTATTCATTATAATCTAGATCTGCAAACTGAAATTTGCAATTTTGAAATGGGTGGACAGAATCAATGTCCGGCGACTGTACATGGTTGTTATAGCAACGTTACCGATGTAACCAACTTTACGACCAAAAATTTTAAGGAGCCCTCTATTTGAAACACAATATTGGTATTTCGAACATCCTTTAAACGAATTCGGGTGATCATTCTGAATATTCTGATAATATCTTTTTTGAACGCACGGAATTGTTACTTTTGAAATGCATTAGTTGAATACAATTACCGTTTTCAATTACCATTCAGTCAGATCTCTGTAAAATGCTTATCTATAGTATTTTAAGTAATAGGTCAAGCTGAAATCTATATTATCACGTTATGATGCAGTCAATTACATTTTTATTGAATAATTCTGAGAAGTTATTATTATTTTATTATTAA